AAAGGCGAAAGGTAGTCTAGCGGAGCAGATTACTGCCGCACGGTGTCCCTTTCTGTGCTAAGAAGAAAGGTAACTCGTGAAACCTGGACACGAACTCGACACCATGGACACCGGTCATCTCTCCACAAAATTAGGTGACATCGGCATCGCCATGTACCTTTGAAGTCTAGACCTAATCAACCATAGGTCTAACTCATTTTCCCATTTGGTGACATGACATTCCCGTGTCATGCCCAATCTCGTGTCACTACCATGCGGTCCGTGACAAGACGGTCCTACTCACTGTGGGGTATTTGATGTTACTTTTATGGCATGCCTTCCTAACATGGTGGTGATGGCTCCTTCTGATGAGGTCGAGCTATTTCACATGGTTGCAACTGCCGCTGCAATTGATGATAGACCAAGCTGTTTCCGCTATCCAAGAGGAAACGGGGTGGGCGTAGAGCTGCCCCCGGGAAACAAAGGCATTCCTCTTGAGGTATCATTCATCTGATCTTTTTTGTGTTTATGATTGATCTTGAAGTTACGGTTTAATGTTTAATTTATAAAATCTATTTACTTTTTAAATGACGATAGATATTGATAAATGTTGAGTGAATCGATAATAATTCTTCGAAAATATTATCACAGGTTGGAAAGGGCCGGATATTGATTGGAGGAGAGAGTGTGGCTCTTTTGGGGTATGGATCAGCTGTTCAAAGCTGTTTGGCTGCTGCCACTTTAGTAGAACCCTGTGGTTTACAGTGAACCATTGCAGATGCATGCTTCTGCAAGCCATTAGATCACGCTCTTATACGCAGCTTGGCGAAATCACACGAGATCTTGATCACCGTGGAGGAAGGGTCAATTGGCGGTTTTGGATCTCACGTAGCTCAGTTCATGGCCCTAGATGGAATTCTTGATGGAAATTTTAAGGTATGAATTGAATTATACTATTAACTTGAGGTCTTTTCATTAGGAATAATGCCATTTGTCGTCATGATGACCATCGTGACCCTATATGGCAACATGACGATATTAAATGACATGTCCAATTAAATGCAGGGGCATAAAATTCATGTTATGGGACCTGTCATTGCATGCCATGTAAATATGAAGATGGTCATCAATGATGACAAATAGCATTACTTTTTAATTAGAGAAGCATCGGAAAATTTGATGAAGCGAAAAGTTAAAACTACGCAACTTCAAAGGAACTTGAATAATTATGTACATTGCATTCATAAAGTGAATGATTTACAGTTTTTGACTTGAGGATTTTCTTGTATATCGTGTTAACATAACAAACTAGACATAGAATCGGCAGCTTAAATACTCATTTCTCACGATTCCAACTTCTGCAGTGGAGGCCGCTGGTTCTTCCAGATCGGTACATTGACCATGGATCTCCGGCTGATCAACCGGTGGAAGCAGGGCATACACCATCTCATATTGGTGCCACAGTTTTTAATGTACTTGGGAAAACTCGAGAGGCTTTGGAGATTATGTCCGAGGTGTAAGAATTGTATAAATCGAACACTTCTTCATAATTGTTTCGACTGTAAAAGATAGTCAGTCATAGGATGATAAGGACAGAATGCTTCGAAGAAGGATAAAGACAGTATCGAGATAGAACAACCAATTCCTTGTGAATATTCCTAATCACGTTGTAATCTTCTTCTTCAATTTAGTTCATTATGTAGCAGCATCAGGTGCACTCATGTTTTCTTGCTTACATTTTACAATTAGTTTCAAATTATTAGCTGCTCTTAGTAGTACAGATTATTCGTTTAATCATAATATTATCCTCAGGAGATACAAGCAAATAGAACAGTTGATATTTCTGTGCAATATTGCCATACTACCACCTATCATGTCCAAATCTTCAAGAGTAAATTCTAGCAAATGCAAGACCAAGCTCTTTAGATCAATCATTCAAGTGAAGGTGTCCATCCCGGCAAAAAAAGCAAAACATTTAAAATAAATCAACGTCATAATTCCCGACTAACAACCAAAACGAACTATTATGATACGCTAATTATGCCATTATTCCTTTCTCACACATTAAAGATGAAGACGAGGAATTCATAATAATATTAACCATGAAATCCACGAAAAAGTTCTTATTGTGCATCCAAGTAAAGAATTGCAGTTACATGTAGCAACTCCAGAATAATCGAGTTAAGCATTAATCAAGGCACCAAAAAAGCACTAGTGTAATTGGCATTTAGCTCCACTGATATTAATGCAGCTCTCGAGCCTCTAATTCTCTGTTCGATTATCTTGTTCAATCCTAATAGCTCGTCTGCAAAAGACACGGACAGATAATTAATTTAGGTAATTAATAAATATTTTCCACAGCATGATTTTTAAGCATCATTTATCTTTGTGAGATACTGTATGGTGCTCAAAATTAGCCTCCTTAATTCTATAAAACCATTATCTTTGGTACACACATCTGGTACTAACCACAAATCACAGATCATCTTGAGACGAAGAAAAGAAGAAAAAGAACCACGATACACTGTACATCAGTAACTAAGGTTCAATCCAATATACAAAAGGACACGAGTAAGAACAATTTAAAACCTATTTGATGTCATTCACAAAATCAATATATGATATGGTGAGAAGGTTGCTTATTCCGGCATAAAAAAGAAAAACACTTATTTCTCCACAGAGGATTTTCAATGCCCACAAATGCCCTTCATTTAGCTCACCCTAGAGTACCCAACAGGGGAAAGTAGAGATAATTAATAAGATGTTTAAGGTCCAGAATGATGCCGGTTGGCATATTTATCTGAAAACAACCCAATGACTCTAGCCTGTTATAGCATCTCCAAAAATGCTCTTTATTTTAAAGAGCATATTTGAATATAAAGAGCAAGTAGTCCAATAAAAACTCTATAGTTAGTTACTCTTAAGTTTACTAATTTCCATAAATAATTATATCCAAACATTTTTTCTTCCATTTCTTTACTTGCTTCCTTCAAAGAAGTTCATAGAAAGTCGTGTAAACTCATGCGAAAACGTTTAAAGTAATATATAGAGAGAATCTGTCTCTACATTTGGAGAGCCAAATACACTCTGCTTAAATTTTTAAAGACAGAGAGTTTATTGGACTAGGTAAAATGAAGATTGGTGCTCCAAAAAACAGAGAATGAGAGAACTAAAGAGCCTATTGGAGATGCTATTGGCTAGGCTAAATTAGCACCCAATATTTAAGTGATATGTTCCTGGCACAATTAATCAGCTTATTTTGTGGCAAAAGTTTTCTAACTATGAGAAGGACATTTGCAGTCTAATAGTATTACAAAGGAATAAAAATGTCAAACCTTCAAAAACACGAGCTAGGAACTTTTTCTTGCTTGTTTATCATGATCTCTCCAAGGATTTAGAGCTTCTCTAACGGCCTGAGCTTCGGGAGAATTCTCCCAAGCCCTCTTCTCCGACTCAAGAACTGTCACTTTATCATCTGCTCAATCCAAATAGAAATGCAAATAAGGATCTGGACCAAATTTTTTGTATTGACTAAAACTGAAAATGAATAAGAAATTGACTACAAGAAGCACATCGCAATTACAACAATTCAAGATGTTCACAATGAGAACAAGAAAATTCAGCTTTAGTGTATCCAAGTGACAGTATTGAAATGGACTAATGGAAGCTCGGACAGAACTATAAAAGGCGAGGCTGCAGCTGGACTGCCATAGGAAAGCCCAACCATAGGAGAATATTTAATTATTTTCATCAGTACATGAGTACGCAAATAAAGAGGGGTACTGATACAAATACTTTATAAAAATAAAACTTTTGTCACACACACAGCTTGACATAGAAAACCAGATTCTAAACAACATTTACCAATAAGTAATGTCAGATACAATGCTCTTTAGCATAAAGGTAACTCAACTTGCAATAGCATTTGATTTTATTGAATATACTGATTTCAGTTGTTAATTATGCATTTTTTACTCCCTACTCTTGTACAGAAACACTAAACTCACGGGCTAAGATGAAATTGATAACCAATATATAAGGACTTGGTCTATTCATCTTAATAAGGTTGACTTTGATAATGGAACTGGTATCAGAACCTATTAAGCTCAAATAAGCAATTCAGTTTGTTTAAAGCTCAACGATCATTTCGATTCCAAGATTAGTGTGCTCAAACAAGCCACCATATTGCAGGGCATGTTAAGGAATAAGTCTTGCATCAGTGAAAGAAGAATACAATAACCAGCATATAAGGCTTGGGCTAATTAAGACCTCAAGTCTTAATATCACATGAAAACCCAAAGAAAATTGCAGCCTAGTATTGCCTGAACGGCACAAGCTTTCAGTAAAAGCATGTCATTATCTTCAAAGTGTTAATGGCAGCACGAAATTGGGATTCATGTTGATTTTTTTTTTCTTTTTAATCCAATTATTAAGACCCAAGTCCATGCTGCCAAGCATAGAATCAAGAAATTCCTATGTTCGCTGTTTAGCTAAACCCTGTACATAAACTGCAACACCCCCCCCCCCCAAAAAAAAAAAAAAGGCCAATTCTTTCTTAAGAACACACGCGCACAAAAACACTTGATAAATCCAGTAAAACTTATAAGTAAATCTCAAAATACATGTTAAAGAAAAATAATGAACTTCTGAAAGTAGAGTGACAAGGAGGGTTCTCACACAGAAGCCAGTTTTGATCATGAAGAATTCCATGGAACCCCCAATCGTGGCTGAAACTAATGCTATCTTCAAGTACCAATCAAGAAACTTCATTATCTGCTACTCCCAGATCTAACGCAGTTTCAAGAATCCAGTTCACGGGGAAGGGCAAGAAAACTGGGAAATTTTTTTGATGTGTGATTATAGAGTTAATTGTTCCAATAGTCATTGAACTTACGCACGTGTTCGATTGCACAGTGAGGTTTAAAACATGGAGTTTTGGCTACTGAACTTTAGAAAACGTGGTACGTTACTCACTTGCATAACTTCTGTCTCAAACCTCTAACAGAATTAGTGACGTAGCTGACGGAATGCAAGTGTGGCGTCCCTTCACACCGTTAAACTTTTAGATAGTCGAATTTTGACCACTAAACTTTGAAAAATGTCGTCTATTGCTCACTAAACTTTAAAGTGATCGAATTTTGACCACTACATCTTGAGATAGTCAAACTTTGGAAAAACATCTTCTATTACTCACTATAGCCTCTGTTTATTTCCCTTTAAAACAAAACTCTTTAATTCTTATACTCATTTTTAACTATGCATTTATACAATAAAATATTTTACACGTAAACTCAAAATTTTTCTCAACTTTTTAATTATACATTCTCCAAAAAATCACTATTTAAACTTATTTTTTAAAATAATGGCATCCAATAGGGGTTAAAATTCATTGTTGAAATTCGGATTTCATTTAATTTTAACAATAAATATATTGTGTGTTTCATTGCAATTAGTAGTCACTTTCTTTGCACAACTTTACAAGTATTGTCTATCCTATGAGGAATGATTATTCAATTATACAGTAGTTAAATTTAAATTTAATTTATTTTTGTATAATTTCAAGTTTTTTTCATCATAATATTTGAATTTTACAAAGAAACGCAATGAATTTGTTGATAAATAAAATTAAATTCAAATTTAGTGTGAGCCATAGAAAATGTTTTTCATAGTTTTTTTTGGCAAAAACTTGACAATCTCAAAGTTTAATGGCCAAAATTCAATTATCTCAAAGTTCAATGAGTATTAGAAAATATTTTTCAAAGTTTAGTGAGCAATTGAAGACGTTTTCCAAAATTTAGTGACCAAAATTCGACCACCTTGAAATAACAGTGTGACGAAGCGCCACATATGCATTCCGTTAGTTCTATCACCAATTCCGTTGGATATTTGAAAAGGAAATTAACCAATAAGAAACGTCGAACTTTTTCAAAGTTTAGTGGTTAAAACTCAAGATTTTAAACTTCAGTGAGCAATCGAAACATAGACATAAGTTCAGTGACCACTAGAGCAATTAACCCGCAATTTATATGATACAAAACAAGCGTTATGCTACATATATAAAGTTGGTTGACAAAATAACA